TTTAAAATCCCCCCCCCCCCCCCCCCCCCCATTCCAGCCACCGCGGAGAGCCTGAACAACACTCTCATCGGCGGGAGGAAGAGGAATTACTACCACGACGACATGTGGAACCTCAAGTACCTGCGCAAGTTTAAGTGGGACCACCTGACGGAGAAGGTGGCCTACGAGCGGAGAGTGCGGTCGCAGAAGCTGCGCCTTGAAACGATGCAGGCGAAGAGGTGAGCTGGAGCACGCGCGTGTGCGGGGTGCTATTTCTCTATTATTCAGTTAAAACATTCAATCGACTCTTCGCCAACGGGCTCATCTGTTTAACAATAAATGTGTCTAACGGCGTGCACCCGCGGCTCTCCGAGTATTGTAAGATGGATGACTGTGTATTTCGAAGGCGCACTTGCCAACTCACGCTGGCTGCCTCGGAAATCCCCAACCGCGGGCGACCATGCCTTTTCGTGCCTTCCCCACCAACGCTGCTGCTGCTGCTGCTGCTGCTGCTGCTGCTGCTACTCTGCTGGCAACACCTCCGGTTGTATTGTTTATCTTTGTTTCCCCCCGCAAAAACGACAACAGAGAAAACGCGCGGTACGTGGAGCTGGTGGAGAGCGGGCGGTCCTTCGCCAAGATGGAAGAGCGCAAGAGAAAACGCAAACAGGATGGGGGCGACGACAACAACGCAGCATCAGCAGCCCCCACCATAGGGGGGGGATCGCAGGCGGCGGCGGCGGCGGCGGCGGCAGCGGCAGCCAAGTCGACGGCAGGGGGGGGGGAGGGGGTTCCGGGGAATGCCGCGCCGGCGGGGGTCGGGGACTCGCACCGGCGCATTCGGAGACGCTTCAAACAATCAAGTCCTGTCGGCGATGTTGGAGGGGGCGGCGGGGGAGGGATGGACGCCAAGGTTTTGCGATCTGTTTTCGGCGGCGGCGATGGCGGCGGCGTTCGCAGAAGGAAGGGCAACAAGGAGGATGGGTAGAGCATGCACGACCCATGGTATTATAGTATTTTTTTATTTTTTTTTCGCAAGGAAGGAAGGCTGATGGAACCCTTCAGAGTGCAGTTGGCGTTTCTTCTTGTTTGTGGCAGCATGTATGTGCAGGCGCCGTGCGTGGGGGTGGTGGCTTTTTTTGAGTTTGTGAAACCGCGGCTGACTGCAACGAGGATGATGGCATCCTTGTGCGTAAAAGGGTGGACGTGTATGTATTATGTGCATCTATCTTGTCGTGCATAGAGGAGCACTGCTACTAGGCAGGCCTTGTTACGGAGTGTGGAGCGAAACGAAGGAGCAACGACAATCACCGAATCCTCGTGGACGGCAAAAAAAGTATGTACCGCATTGAAACAAGGGAGTTTGGTTTGGCGTACACCCCGAAGTCAGTGTTGACCCGATCATCCACTTGTTACATTGTTTCTCGGTTGCTTCAAGGCGGAAGAAGGGCAGTAAGCAGCCAACAACACCTCTCAGGCTAAGCCCTCCGATGAAAAAGGGCGGCGCTTTTTGGCAAATACAGCAGTATGCCAGAAGATGGATCTGTTTCTCTACCGATTCGGAGTACAAGGGTGACACCACTCGTTCAAAATCGTGGCAAAAAATGGTATCAGCAGCAGAAAGCATCAGAAAGGAACGGCGCATAGCGGCTCGTTGGTTGGTTTTTTAGGGTATCGTTCCATCTCAAAAAAATACTTCTCCAAAACGCGAGTGAGCAACGACTCTGCGTTTCGTGCACTCTCGGGCTTTGAGGAGACACGTCTTTCATCATCATGACGCTGCAGCCGCATTTACCACCGTCAACCAATCAAGTCACCAATATTATGTAACTTCTTCCCTCGTTCGTGTCGGCACAAGTACAAACATATAAGACAAGAGACCACCAAACGTGAAGCAGGAAGATTGACCCACGTAAAAAGAATAAGCAAAAACCAGCACTTAACTAACTCCTCGTAGAAAAATATGGAGGATAAGCAAGGGCGAATGCCTCGGGACAAAATACCAGACGCGCTGTGGCTACGCACGCATCAGGGTGTGCTCACAAACACAAGCAACAACAAGGCTGCACAAGGTATACGCCGCCGAGTTGTCACAGGCACCAAGAAACCACGAGATGGAACAGACATTTGTACAGGGGCCACGGAACTTTTCAGGCAAGCGCATTAACATGAGCGAGTTGGTTCATACCAAAAGAAGCCCCGCCAAACCTGGCAGCAACCGGGGCCAGGGTGATGAATGAACGACCATTCCGGCCTGCCAGCTCCAAATGTACAAATTCAAAAACAATAAAAAAACTCATTTCTGGAGTTCACAATCACATTAGTCCACAGTCCTAGCATGTGGGGAGTCGTGCTCACGTGGTTTCTAGCGTGTCGACGAGGGACCCGTTCTCGGGCGAGTATCACCACAAAGCGCTAGGGGATCCAGGAAAGCCCACATGCGACACTCGGGACGACGAACACGTCGACACACAAAAAAAGGTGTTGCCCTTGGCCTAAACCGAGAGACACAAAATCGGTCATCGACCGACGACACATAACCACGACGCTGCTTCCTCCTCACTCCAGCCCCTTGTACCTACCGTTGTTTCTAGAATCACCCAACTCCTCTTTGATCTACTTCCTCCACCGGGCACATCGCACGGTGCCAACAGACAAGGCAACCCCCCACCCTCAACGGCGCTGCAACCCAAGCATCTCCGCACTCACGACAGACGCCCTACCAGACATTCCAACGATAATACAAAAAAAACACACATGGGGAGCAGGGGCCGTCTCTTTTTCGGCCGGCGAAAGATGACCTCTACAGGACAGACGACGGGCGATACAAGGGACGGTCGGCTCTACTGCCTCTCCCTTCTCATCGGCAACAAATTCACTAGTTTTTACCACCGGTGGTGTCGTCAGCCCACAATCGCAATGAAAAATGCTACGAACAACAAAGTGTTAAATTGTGGTGGCAACCATGCACTGGTGGTCAGAATAGTAACATCAGGTCTTCTCTCGTGACGGCTTTTAGCAGCCGTGCACCTCGATCTCGGAGAACTTGGAGTAAGCCCCGACCTCGTTGCCTTTGCCGACGACGTACAGCTTGTGGACGCCGTCCATGTCCAGGGTGAAGGTCTGGAGCGCGACATCCCTGGCCGCGTGCTCCTCGAGCAGCACCGGCGTCCAGCTGCGGTCGCTGGCGCTCTGCGTGTAGATGGAGAAGATCTGGTGCGCGAGGTCCCCGTCGTAGAAGCTGATCTGCACGGTGGAGACCATCATGTCGCCGCCGAAGGTGAAGATCACCTTGTCGTTTGAAAGGTCCGACTCGTTCTGAGTGTTAGTCGTGGACCACCGCGTGTCGAAGTTGCCGTCGAACACCACCCTCACGTCGTCCTGGCCGCTCGCGTGCACGCTCACGGGGCTGAGCTTGGCGGGAGCGTCGCAGACGGCGCCGGCGAGCGCCTCGAGCTCGCTGTCTAGCGCCTGGAGGCCGCCGAACAGGGCGTTCGATTCCGCCGCCGCCTCGACGCACACCTCAAGCTCCGTGAAGGCCGACCAGTTGTTGAACGAGTTGCCGTGGGTCTCGAAGCGCACATAGAGGGCGGGACGGGAGGAGAAGGGGAAGGTCTGGACCGTCATCTCGCCCGACGACTCCTTGCGGGAGATGACCGTCGTCCAATCGTCGTCGTCCGCCGATCGCACGGCCACGTCGAAAGTCTGGATGCGCTCCTCCTCGGCCGCCTTCATGAAAAAGCCTATCGCCACGCCGTTCACATCCACCTCGTCCTCGAGCTCCAGGGTGATGTACGTGCTCTCGCGGTGGATCGAGTAGTACGAGTCCACGTCGCTGTCGAACAGGTTCTCCACCGAGGTGCTCCCGTCGGCGTAGTCCGGGTGCTGCACGCTGGTCTTCCCGACCGCGGCCACGGACGCGCAGTCGCCGAGCCCGCTCGAGCCCGCCGACTCGTTCGTCTCGATTACCTCGATCTCCGGCTCGCTGTCCTTGGCTTCGTCCGCGAAGTTGACCCCGGCCTCGAGATCGTCGTCCGTGGTGAGAGCGTCTCCTTCGGCGCCGCCGTCGTCGTCGTCGTCGGCGCTGTCGGGGGTCGAGCTGACGCCCTCGATGTCGCCCGGGTAGCTCGAGCAGTCGCCGGTGGCGACCGCCTCCGTGAACTGGTCCTGGTCCTGGTCGTACGCGCCGAACGAGATGGCGTCAACGTCCGAGATCACGTTCTCGCAGACCACCCCCTGGTTGGGGGACATGACGCTGAACGCGCCGTTGCCGCAGCTCTGGATGGCGTTGCCGTACAAGTGGTTGTTCTCGCCGAAGTCGTCGTCGCCGCCCACGCGGATACCGGCCCCCAAGCACTCGGCGATTTCGTTGAAGCGAGCCGTGTTGTCCGAACCGCGGAAGCCGATGCATCCCGAGTTGGGGTCCTTCTGCTGCTCGCACACGTTGTGCTCGATCAGGTTGTGCGCGCTGCCCTCCTTCACGTCCACGCACTCGTTGCCGTACGTGCGGAAGGTGTTGTGGTGGATCCAGTTGTAGTTGCACTCGTCGGCGTCCACGTTGTCCGCAGATCCGGTCCTGATCTTGACTTCCGGCGCCTGAGTTGTGTTGCAAACAAGGGGCGCGGCGTACGGGGCGCGGTAAGCACACAACACTCGCGGCGCTACTGCAACAGATAAGCCGAAAGTTGTCCCGCACCAGCTTTTCATTGAGGGAACCTTACAATACGGGAAAATATCTTTGATTGACACACGCGCTGCCGAACGTGCGGTGAAAGTGCCAGTTTTTTTAGTTCATCACTTCAAATCATAGCCGTTCGAAAACAGACCCTAGACCTACGCATGCATATATGCAGATTAGTCCGTTGAAAACTGGGGCATTGCGTGCTACCCGCAACCGAAAGACAATTTATTGCTGACTTGAAAAAGTCTTAGGAAGCAAGTCTTGAATGTTGTAGTTGTTGAGTGGGGATCACACCTGACAAGACTACGGAGTACCACAGGTTCGAGAGGGCACACTCAGTTCCACCAGCACACACAACACCACACTTGTATTTTCATCGCACAACGTGACGACTCTCCAAAACCAAACAGCAGACAGAGCAGGTCCTCCACCAATCAAAGTGCGGTTCATCCCGCGTTCTTCTGTTCCTATATCTCCGTTCTTACCTTTCCGTCATCGACCTGGTCGAGGGCAGTTCCGACGTAAATCCCCTCCCCCACCTTTCCACCCCCGCCATCTTCGAAGGCTTCCATGCCGCAGTGCTGTTCGACAAGCGACGAAAAAAGATGCGGCGGACGAAGACGTCAGGGCGAGTTGATCATCATCGTCGTGGCTTTTCTTCGATAGAGATGGATTCGTCGGGTTATCCTGATGAAATACCTCCCAATCCCAGCACAGACATGTAGATAGCCTCCGACAGCTAATTATTTTTGCAATACTGACTCCGGACTTGTGCCATCTACTCCAAAAATTTCCCGTCCGCATTCCGCCCTACAAAAAAAAAACATGCCGTTGTGTTTGCATAACAAAAGCCTGCAGATCCCCCATGTTTTATTTTCGCAAAAGCCGTTGTGTAGGAGGGCAAAAAAAAAAAACCTCGCTCGTTTGGAGATGCGTTGCTTACCTGGATAGTGCAGCCGGTGACCTCGGAGTGGGTCACGAAGTACCGGAAGTGCACGCATTCGCTGCCGAAGTTCTGTATAACGGGACAACCACGACGGGAGGGGTGATGGGGTCAGGGACGTGCGGCTATGAGAGGGACGATGATGAACCAGGAGTACGAACAACTTGCGCGCGTCTCGCACAAGATTTAAGATTCTTTTTCTTCGTACCGATGTACAAGAATACAGAACATTTAACAGAACATGAGTACAGAATTGGCTGTACTCATTATTTTACGGGAGGGCGAGGCGAACTCGCTCGTCAAAGTACATGGTGCGCAGCTGGCGCAGGCAGTAGCTCCGCTGCTGCGAACCGCTCATACGTTGACTACTATGTACCACCCAACGCACCTTGATCTCGAGGTCGATCATCTTGAAGCCGGTCACGGAGGAAGTCACGCCGTTCTTTGTGCTCTTCTTGTCCGCGCCGAGGACGTAGATGGCGGTGGCCACATTCGGCGGGTTGTCGCCATCATGATCGCCGTCGAAGCAGATGCCTTCCACGATGTAGTAGTCGTGGGCGATCTGCAGCACGCGGTCCTGGGTGTTGGAGCCCTTGATGCACGCGGCCGAGTCCCCGGTGATGGTGATGGGCGCGTCCGCCGTACCGTGGGTGGAGGTGATCCCGTCGTGGTAGTAGTCGCCCTTCGCAAGGTAGCAGCTGTCTCCGGGCTCGACCACCTTTAGGCAGACCGCCTCGAAGTCCTCCCCGGCCGCGACCGCGATTTCCCTCGCTTTGGCCGAGGCGGCCAGCTGCGATCGATCGACGGGTCGACGACGACGGACAGATATTTAGCACATTTAATATTCCTCAATTTTTCCGCAGTTGGGGGCATCACATCATCAGATATCTAGAACGCACAGAAACAGAGTGCGGAGGGACCAGGATCGAGCGAGAGAGGAAAACGTCAAGTGTTTCTTGTTTACCGGTGGAATTTTAAACATCGCGTATTTGCATTTAGCAACGGGCAGTATTTGCTCGGAACAGCAGCAAAAGGCGCCTACTGCACATGGCAGAGCAGACCCTGTTCTGTCATGCGCGTTGTGCGTGTGAGCATAGAACCGGAAAAACCGAAATTCCTACAAGTAAGCAAAATACCATTTACTTGGGTCATCTATCGACGGATTGATTGGTGGTGTGAAGCGAGCGTTGGCGGGTCGACGCAAGAATACGCAACACATGCGTAGTACCGTAGCGCTGACGGGTGCGGTAGCCCTGCAAGGGACTGGCACTCAACACACAGCATACGGCACAGCACACCACCTTCGTCGTAGCCTGCAGCAGTACGACGTATGTATGCACAAGATTACCGTACACCCGAAAACAGTTCCGAGGTTTTTTTTCGAAACGTGCCGCGCGAGCGAGCGGCTCTCTTCGCCGAAGCACATAGAACGTTTTGGCGTTTCGTGAGCTGTCGGGGCAAGTATGTACGTCGGAGATATTCGTACTGCTGTGCACACGTCGCGTCGCGGCAACAACAAAAGGGTCGTGAGGCCCGGACGCGACAATGAAGAGCGCACCCATACCAATCAACACCAAGCATCTCTGAACGTTATCCGTACTTGGCTGTCCGTCGAAAATCGAACGAGTTCCGAGGAGGATTACATCGGTTGGAGGAAAGTGGACGAGGCCACCACCTTTTTCGACAAAAGTGCCGCGTAGATGCGGGCGGCTTATGGCTTTCATGTATCATGGATCCGAGGCCATTGGTGTGTGACTTCGGTGTGCCACGCTCACGACCTTTACATGCAGCCCCGATGCCAGGTACGTGTTCTCTCACAAGCTACCATAGCTCTGCTCTCACGTATTCACTGGAAAATATTATTATTGTCCGTTGGCAAGCTGTGTGCAGCCTCTATTGCTGCTGTCGGAAACTCACCAGGCCGAGTCCAAGCAAACGAATCATGATCACCGTCCCGGAGGTGTTTGAGCAGAGAGAGGAGGTGCTTCTCCGCAGAGAGCTCGGCAGGAGCACGTCACGCGTGGGGGTCGGTGACGTTTGTAGGAAGCAGGTAGAAGGGAGAGGGGAAAAGTGGTGAAGAGTGCGAGTGAACTGACAGGGGGTGGGTGGGGGGAGACCGCCACGGACGCGCGCGTGGTTGGATTTTGCAGGTCGATATGACGGTTGGAAGAATAATTAATTTTTTCCGAAAGACTGTCAGCGGTCTGTTCGCCTTGGCCAATGGAGAAGGTCGTTGAGATACATCGGTTGGCGATTTCTGGAGCCACTCAACCGCTCTCGATGCGGCGAGGCTATGCGGGTACTGGAGGATACCCTCGGATGTCGCCGCGGAGCTCTTCGCGTCCGTACGGGTACAACAAAAGCACATGAAGAAATGGGGACACTGAACCGGCACCCAACCGAAGATTAGTTTTTTTTCCGTTCGACTCTGTGGGTATATCTCGAATGGGTCGTCTTTCTGTGTGTGTTTTTATTATTCCTTAATTTTTTTGTCACCCCAGCAGCGGGCGTACCCCCCCTGACGTCAGAATTAAAAACGTGTGTTCTTGATTAGAACATTAGAACACGGGGCACCATTGGTCTACGTTGGCCTGTTGGTCTGGTACGTACATAATAGTTCCGTCCTCCAAGCGGTATGCAGAACACAGCAGGCTACTACACAATAGTGTTCGTTTGGTGGAGTATTTCCGTTGACTTTTAGGCGTTTGTCATGGTGGTTGCTATCGTGGTTTAGAACGCGGGTTCGAACACGTACACGCAACGCATCTCTTTTATGTATCGTGCAGCGACGTGTAGAGCACCAGCAAGCAATTTGCTACTGCTGTACTGGAGGGTTTGTCCGTGTTGTTCCGATTTCACCCGACCGTCTCAACCGAAAAAACTAGAAGGGTCGTTGGGGACTTCGCAATACAGCAGTATACTTGTAGGAGACACGTGTGGGTTAGACACATCAGGGCGGAGATAGATACGTGCAGGAACTTCATCAGTTGTAACCTCCGCTGTTTCGCTGATACCCAACTTTTTCCCATCCCCTACTAGAGGAAGGGCAGCAAGCTTGCTGCAAAGGTCCGACGTAGCCGATATACTCTTCTTGTCACCAACACCATTGCGTTGTCGTGTGGATAGACTATTAACATCTGGAGAGCGGAAAGCATTGCCACCTGGAGCCTGCCTTATCCCACCGACAGACTCTGTTCGACCCTGATGATGCACGTAGGCGCGCCGCATTATGCATGCCTTTCTTCTCCGCGCGTGAACCCATCTGCACACAATCCGAGTCGTGCCGCGTGCCCGGAAGAACAAAGCAGAGAAGAAGACGATCGTACGACTGAACTGCTGAAACCAACCACACACGACAACAGCAACCACGCGGTTTCTTCCAACCCAACCAAGTTAATAGCCGTTTCTGCTTGGTCGTCCGCCTGATGTTGCTATTATCTGTGTTGCTAGCATGCAGCGCAGCAGTCTTCTGCGTCAACCCACAGGAGGACCATGTTGGCGCGAGATCATAAATAGCGCGAGGGAGAGTGACTAAAGAAAATGAACCGCGAAGAATGTGAAACTTCGAACCACCCACAGAGGACGTGATTGATTGAGCAGCTTTCTTCCGCCTCCCGGCACCGCAACTGACACACCTTCGCAGTTCCACGTCTCACAACACCAAGCAAGGGCGTCGTATTTAGTTCAAAACTGCCGCAAGGTTGTAGTACAGAATCCTAAGGGCGGGAGCCAGCCACTGCACAGGGAGGTCACTTCCAAAGTTTTTTTTACACACGGGAGGTCACTTCACACGACGTCAAAAGATTTAGTCTACGGATCCAGTTGCATACGCAAAAAAGGGGAGATAATCGCGAATCTCAAAGCATCAACCGCTGGCAGTCACCACACAATGGTGTGCGTGTTGTGGGCACAGCCAGCAGTATTTCCACATCGGCCCAAATGCCCACGGCCACAACGCTCCCCTGTAACCATGTTCCAATACAACTTTCGTTTCATATGGAAACACAAAGATAGCACACGTTGACCTTCCCTCCCCAAACGACCAAAAAAAGCCAAACTGGTTACGCCGACACCATCCACTCCAAACAAACCCTCTCAACTGCTGTACTGCTATTTTTCGTCTCCGGACTTGTTATATCTTTGAGCCCAACCTCCGCCGCCACTGCCTTCAGACGGCGGGGAACCCCTCCCACCCCCCACCCTCTCCTCTCTCCCAGAACCCGCCGTAGCACCACCGTTACCCATGCCTCCTCCTCTAGCCGGACCCCCCGCTCCACCCCCGGCGGATCCGTACGAGAACCTTCCCACGCCTCCCCCAGGATTTTCCCCGCGGCGGGTGGAGTCCCGGATAGCCTTAAACCGCCCGTCGTCGAAACCCGTGTACCGGCCTCTGTCTTGCGCCACCCTGCGCGCTCGGACCACTCCGTCGCTGCCGTTCCCCTGCTCACAAGTGAAGTCGGCGGCCGCGGCCGCGGCGGCGGCCGCCGCCGCCGCCGCCGCCGCCGCCGGGGAGCTTGCGTCGAACGTCTCATCGGAGGGGGCGTCGAGGGACGGCATCTTGTTCGTCCACGCTTGCGCCAGGCTGTCCATGCCCCTCTCCTCGAAGGCGCTGTCGTTTTGGTTTGATTTGATTTCGAGGCCGCGTCGCGCGTCAAGGGGGTGGTTGAGGACAGGCCACGCCAAGCGGACACGAGAAACGATGGTCGAAGAGGAGAGCTGCCAAGGGACGCACGCGCGAGGCAAACGCTTTTTTTGCCCTGCGGACAAGCGTGTAACCTGCTCTTCGTTTATTTCTGGCTCTTCGCGGTGCGTCAACATGCCCAAACTGCCGCGTGCAAACTCGAAGAAAGCATCATATTTCGTCTGCTGTCATCCCCCCGAATTGTTGGGAAGGCTTATCCTCATCCCCGGGGTTGACAATCTGTGGGGGGAAAGGAAAGGGATTGATTGGCCTTTCATATGACGTGAATGCCTATCCCCCTCGACGACCAAACATGTGTTTGGCTGTTTCTCACGCAGGCGCGCACCACGGGAGTTGTAGACAGACCAAACATCATACACATGAGAAACGTTGAGTAACGTTGACGGGGGGGGGGGGTTCGTGGGGTTCGTGGGGGGATGGACGGACTGACCTTGCAAGTGTATCGACGATGTCCTGCTCCAGACGGAGGCCGTGCTTGCTAGTCATCCTCTCCACGAGGTCATCGGCGAAGTCCTGAAGGAGGAAGAGAAGAACAGGTAAAATACGTACAATGTAGTAGTAGCAAGAAGTTGCAAGGACAACCATCAGCGAAAGAAGCGTAGACGACATCGGGCAGGGGTAGACGGCACTGACGACGCCCGGCAACGGCGGTGGCGGGTCCAAGTGAAGCGTGCGGGGAGCCCAGCCCAAAGCATTGCTTTCTCCGTCTTCAAGGGGGAGGGTCGGCCGCAGAGATCCGTCCAAGGGGTGCATATGATGTAACAAGGTCACAGACGACACGGGTGTGATACACAACCACAAGACGCAATCTGTACGCAGGGCGCATCAATTGAGCGCTCTCGAGGAGACTAACCTCCCGGAAGATCATGACAACTTGGGTGTGCGAACTGAACAGCTTTGCCTTAAAACAGCGAGCTGTCCCGGAATTTCCCAAAGTATGATCTGTCTTAAAATGCTTTCTCCAACCGTTCAAAACATATACCCGATTTGTTGCGGTTGATCGACCAATTGGCCCCAACAGCATAGGGCCGTACAGAAAAAATGGCGATAATAAATGTAACTCCCTGGGCGCGTGGGTGAACCAAAGAAGGGCGGCGATGGGACACTACTACACACACAACAGATAACCTCAACCCTTGACTAACCTTTCTTTGGAATCAAAACAACGCACGCACAGCGGTCGTGTATGCATACATACCTCGGTGAGTCCGTCGGACATGCAAGCCAGATCTATCAGGCTCATGAATGTCTCCTGGTTCGGTTTTACCTCCTCCTTCCTAAGAAACGCGTGAAGCAAGAGGGGAAAGGCGGGGGTGGTGGGGGTGCTGGCAACAAGCCATGGGGTTGGTTTGATACCGAGCGGATTTTGCTATGCAAAAAACAGCGACAGACAAAAACGGGCCTCGTTCCGTGCGGCAACATGAAAAACTACGTCTGGGAATTCCTGAGGCCAGCGGAATTGACGTTGTTGCCGGTCAGCCTTTTCCCCGGATGATATGGGGCACGAAACAAGACATGCAAACAGACTCACTCGAGCCGGACGCCAACACTCACCCATAGTTTGAAGATGGCCAAGCAACGACGGGACGTACGTGTATGGTAAGCAAATGCTTTTCGTCTCAACTCGCTCTCACCAAACACAGCGACTCAAAACAACGAATCTCCCTCCGCTAAATAGCTATCTTAAAGTTACAGCTCTCCCGGGGCCCTTCGACGAACAACGGAAAGCGAAACCACCACCAGCATCTAGGACGCGCCCCTCCCCCCCAAAACCAAAAACCACCCAAGAACACGTAAGTACAATGCCTGTTGCATGCACCGGGTTACAAACTCAATAATATATACATGGTGTGCACATGCATGGACAACAACGTAAGCAGTGGTCTGAAAGTGTAAGCTACAGCAGCGGTAGACAGCTCGCCGTGCATGGAAAACAACATAAGCAGTGGTCTGAAAGACAGCTAGCCGTGCATGGAAAACAACAAGAGCAGTGGTCTGAAAGTGCAAGCTACAAGCTACAGCAGCGGTCTGAAAGACAGCTAGCCGACTCACTCGATCTGGTCGAGGAGAGACATGCCGATGCCGAGCGTGGCGTTGTCCGTGTCTTGCTGAAGAACGCGTCCAGCCAAGGGCAAGGGCGCGCGGGGCAGCACCAGCGACGGCACACCAACACGTATCGTAGCACATCAACCACCCGCACGCGTTCAGAGGGTGGCGTGGGGGGGACGGGGGCAGCAGACGAGCCAGCGAAACACGCGTCGGGGTGGGAGGAGGGCATTCAATCGAAAACAGGAGTCAACACACAGCTGGTAGCGTGTACCATGGAGGTTGATTTGGCCATGTTTAAGTACAACAATCTGCCGTAAAGTAAAACCCCATCATGGAGGAAAGTCGATTCCAGGGCGAGCGTGCGTGCAAAGCATTGACAACAGGACAGCGAAAAAGTCGTGCGCAAAACACGCCGGACAACCACGTGGCGCACGTCACACGGACGCATTCCACGCGGGCTCCAAGTCGAAGGAAAGAGGCCCTACTACCGAAAAAGCAATCGGCCCGATAGCAGCAAAGCATCCAAGCGGCTGCGTGTGTCACCCCTTTGTTCAGGCTCAAAACCGAACCGCACCGCTCTCATTGCGCCGAGGACGTGCATCAGCGCGTTGTACGTGTCGAGGTTGGGTGCTAGCTCGAACACCACGGGGAGAGCTTCGGCCGTCGCAAAACATCGGTCTACTGCTTGCCTGAAACGACAGCAGCAGCAGCAGCACAAACGGCACAAATAAGATTCCATCTCAACGTGTTCATTGCTGTCGGTGCTGGTTTGCGCGGTTGCTGTTTTCGGGGTTGTGGTTGTTGCTGATGGGCTCCGGGATGATGGCGCTACTTACCTCACAGAACTACTGGCATGCCCTCTCATGACCGGTTCCTCATGACATATTTGTATGTACGCAAACAACAGCAGACGACTTCACGGACACACGCACAAATTTCCAACAAGCACACCACTGCAAGCACCTTATGGCGCAAGCGACGATGATGCTGTTGACGGCTTCCACCGGAACCGGCTCTCCGTTTTCCTTCAGCAGCGTGAGCGTGTAGTACGCCTGGTCTACCCGCTTGTTCGACACCGCCAGCCTTTGCGCGCAGAACGTCAGGGTCTTGCGGTTCACCTCGACCTTTTCCTGGCGATTAATTAGGCAGCAAATTGACGAAAGAGAAAGAGATGGAGAGACAGAGAGGGGGAGAAGGGAAGGGAGGGAGAGAACGCACAACGGGGTTTGATGGCGGGAGAATCAAGAGAAAATACGGGGCAAGGACAACCACCGACAACCCGACGCCATCCACCCTGTTTAAACGCGATCGCTCAAAAGTTCACACGAACGCCCCCGCCTAAACAAGTCGTCGTCTTCTTCTTGCTTCAGGGAAAAAATGTATCCACAACGCCCTTCTTGTGGTACTCCTGTCCCTATTATAGCAACGGCTGTCTTGTTCTTGGCTCTTTCTTGTATTCTTGCAAAAAACAAAACAACGGTGAAATCTCGATCCACGGATGGAAATAAAACAATAAACACAGACAGCGTCGTGTCACCGTTTCCCTCTTGTGTCTTTCTCTTTGCCACCCTTGCCCCTTGCCCACTGACCTTGTAGGCCTGCACGAGAGTGGCGAGAGCCATGTCATCCTTCCCCACCGCGAAGAAGGTCTGCACCACGAACGAGTAATCGGCCTGGGGGCGGGGACACACGAGACATGGGGGTCGAAACAAAGATAAAAAGAGACGAAAGGTAACGGCGACAAATGGTTGTAATACCCACACCAGGTCAAAACGAAACGAACAAAATGAAAACAGACGAACAATACACGGCGAGGACAGAATTAACACAAAACCAAGAAGGGCAAGAGCAGAGCTAGGGAATGTTAATGTTTTTGAGGGGGGGGGAGTCACCGCATGAGAGCGGTGCATACCATGAATGCACCACCACTTCGAACGCCGCCACCGAGGTTTGTTTCGTTCAAGGCTAGAATACAATCGTCCAAAAACGTGCCAGGTGCTTTCTCCGAAAACGGGGCGCTACCGGTCGTTAACTTCCAGGGCCGTCAAGAGGAGGGTTCGGGGATACCGTACCTCCTCTCTCTGCTCCACCATAGATTGGAGAAAAAACGATCGGGTGGACACACGCAAGAGCAAGCTTTTACTCAATCTCCGATTCGCCTGGGAACCATACAGCAGCAGCCTTCCGATTGATGTTTGGCGGAGCTTGAGATTTTTCCGGCGTGTTCCACGCGCGAACGAGCAACTTTGCTATAGATTAAAACGTTGGCCGAAAGATAACCCGACCACAGCACTGACTAGACCTTGAACAGCAGCGGAGGAGGCCGCCCACAACTTCAAGACAACAACAGTCAGCACCAAGGGCACAGAACCGCACATAAGGGGCTCGGCGGACGAGTAGGAAGAGGGGTGGTGGGTGGGGTATATGGCATCTACATCAGAACAATAACTTTCAAAAAGGAGAGAGAAGCATGTGTCACAAAAAAACTGCGACGGCCTCCGGTACAGTGTATTCGTAATTACCTGGGAAAAGCTGTGACCCCATTGCTGTGCGGCGACCCACATCTTGGTCGCCATGTCGTCATCCCTCCGGCGGGTGGCCATGTACAGGACATTCTTCACGGTCATCGGGTTCTGATTGACATAGATAGCCGCACACCAGACGAGAGAGTAACATTTACGGAGACGTAACAAAAGAGAGCAAAGGAGGGTCGGTGTGTCCAGCAGCAATAGCCAAGCGAAATGTACTAAAAGAGGTGTGTAGACTGGCGTCAGAATAGATGGGACGGCCACATAAACACCGCAAAGCGTTGTCAGCCATCAGGAAGAGGTCGAACGCCTCTGGCTACGAAAGGGTGTATCGGAAAAATGTGTGTTGAGGTAGGTCTCCGTGTGTGTGTGTGCCACGAGGGATCGAATCGAGCTTCTTGCGCGCTCCTCCTCCCTTTCTTCTCACCACGATGTTGCCGGTCAGGAGGAGGAGGTCGAGCGTCTTGTGCATCAGTTCCGGCTCCCCTTGCCGCATGCACGCGTAGGTCAGCTTGTTCATCAGGGGGTCCCTCGGCCTCATCCCTGCCGACGGTGTGGGTCGGGATTGAAAAAGCACGAAACAGCGACACGGGGGATTTTCAACGTCAACAGACTCGGGTGCTGGTGCACCCCTCACGCTTGTCATACCTCTCACCAAGAGGCATGCCAATACTAGACCCCCCATCCCCTCTCCCTCGAGCGGAGAGACTCGGAAATAGCCTCAACAGGGAACACAACCAGGAGAGTCCCCACCCCGTATCCCCCCCGAACAAAAAAAAAATAGGTGCTCTCCTCGTTTGCACGTTGGAACAAAACGGGAGAAAGGCCTCAAGCACCATCTGCAACCTTAGGAGGGAAGAGGAGGGGGGACAACACATGCCCGCCCAAAACGCACAACAACATAAACAAGCGCAAAACAACCGATCACGACACGGACACCAGAAGCCAGACGATGAGGTCGGCGCATACATGTACGCGCACCGCACACCGCATGCCTGCTGTACCAAGGCGGGGAAAAGTTTACGAAGAAGACGCCAAGAATATGACCCTCTGAATGATCGCAAACCCCCAACAACATGCTGCATGGAACCTAAACCTTACCGGCTTGGTGGGTGTCTTCGACCACCCTCAGCGCGTCCACCAGCCTATCCTCCTGTTTGTTTCGGTCGCCGTGGTGGTTGTCATCGTTCTTGTTGTTGGTGTCTCGGTGTCTCAATTTCTTTCAACATGTTGGAATACTTGTGCATGGCGATGTAGTTGTTCATTCGTCACTCGATGCACTTCGTACTACGTACGCACACGCAGGCAATCACACAAACCCCCGAGCAAGAAAAAAAACGCCCCAAGTAAGTCAGACCAAAGTGGCGTTCGGAGCCCACGATCTGTGGTGCTACTTACAAGTATTGCCGACTCCCGCTTGACAGGAATGTGACTCGTAGACCACAAACCAGGCAAGCAATTTTACTCTCCTCCCCTTCCCTTCGCCGCTAGTATAGTATCGGTACAGCGATTCCCACCGGGAAGACACGACGCGGCGCCGGCGCTACAACC